CTTTCTGGTGATATAAATCTTTTTAAAACCCTATTTTAGTGTGAACTATGATTCATATAAAAGAGTGCATTAAACATAAATGTGCAGCTTAGAGAATGATTACCAAGGGATCATCCATGTAAACCGGATGGTCAAGGAACAGAAGAGCATTACCACCCTCCAAAATGCCTCCTTTCGGGCAGAGGTAACATTAAACTGACTTTCATTGTAGTTACTGTCTTACCCCCTAGCCCATTTAAAAAATATGGCTTTGACATATATACATGTATCTATAAGCAGTATAGTTTTCTAATTTTTAGTTTTGGTCTTTTTATAAATGGAATTATATGGGATATCTTCTTTTTGGGCTTGACGTCTTTCATTGATATTTTTGAGATACATATAGCTGCAGATCATATATTTTCATTACTGTGTAGGATTTCACTCTATGAATTTACCACTATTTACTTACTGATTCTGCTATAGGTGAACTCTTGGATCTTTTCCAGTGCTTAGGAATTACAAACATTCCTGTATGTCTCTTGGTGAACTATACACCCACTTCTGTTGGGTATATTCTGAGGAGTCTAATTGCTAGGCCATAGGGTATGCAGATCTTCAGTTAAAAAATAACCATTTATTTTTTAATAGTTTTAGATTTACAGAAAGAGTTCTCTTATACCTCTCCCCAAATTTTCCCAGTTTTTAATCTCTATTACTATAATATATTTGTAACAACTAAGGCAACTAAAAACTACTAAGTCACAATTCTGCTTTCACTAGTGTTATCCTGGTTCATTTTCTCTAAAGGCATATCTCACTTAATTGTGCTTCACAAATGTTCCTACACACACACACACATACACACACACACACACACATCAAAGGCAAGATTCCAACAGCAAAAAAATTACAACTCATTTTATTGTGGTTCTTGATTGTGGTGGTCTGAAACCAAACCCACAATACCTTTGAGGTATGGCAGTGCTTAGATCCTTTCTAGGATACCATATTTACATTTAGTCATCTTTTCTCTTTACTCTGGTCTGTGAGTTTCTCCCTCTTTCATTGTTTTTGATGACCTCGATAGCTTTGAGAAGTACTGGTCAGATATTCATTTTGGGTTTGTTTGATGCTTTCCTCATGGTTAGACTGGGACTGTGGGTTTTGGAGAGGAATATCATGGTGGCGACATGCCATTCTCAGCACATCATATCAATAGTGCATACTGTCAACAACGACTGCTGATACCAGCCTTGATCACCAGGCAGAGGCAGTGCTTATCAAGCTTCTCCACTTAGCAAATCATTAAGCACTGTCTACACTGGTGAGGGGAGGTGGGTTGGGGTTATGATCTATGTACTAGAGGAGGAAATAGCTGCATAAAGTATTTGTAATTCTTCTGTAAGAGAGATTTGTCTCCCTCCCCCCAACTTATTTATTTATTCAGTCATTTATCTATGTCAATATGGACTCATGGATATCTAATTTTTTTAAGGCCATAATATACTCAATGTGACATTTTATTATATTTCTTAGCTGTGGTTCCTTTCTTTTCCTTACACCAGTTTATTATGAAATTACTTTTTTATTTATACATTATATTGTAATTGTTCATAAAGCCCCAAACTATAGGTTACAAATGCATATGAGTTTTTGACAATAAAATAATGTATTTTAACACAACCTATTTTGTATAGTAAAAATTATTTAGTTTACTGTTAAAAGTTTCCTTATTTAAGGAATTTCCTATATGTTAAGTGAAAAACACTCAACTACTACATCAGTACTTCCAATGTTGAGTTAATTGGGTATTACCTAGCATTGAATTTTTGCAACTACACCATCTTATAAATTCAAAATTGCTACTCAAACCCATGTTCTAAAGTCTGCACTTTGGAAATACTTTTATTTGATGGTAACAATGTAGAATGATGGAAAAAATGTTATCAAACAGTACAAAAATACAGCTACATAAATAGGAAAATAGCCCCTTTTCTTGACTTCAAATGTAGATTTCTGCCTTCCTTAAGTTTTATCAAAAATCAAAGAGAACTTATAGATACTGGAACATACAGAAAGACTCTGAAAAGAAACTAGGGCTTATCACTGACCATGATGATAAAGCAATTTGTTCAAAACATCCATTAACTGAAAAACATTTCTTTTATTCATTCTCTCTCCTTTCTGTTGTTTTAACAGCAGCTATTGTGGTCTTTTAACCCTAAGTTTCCCTACATCAAAGAAAAAAGTGTTAACATTTCACTTAAGGAAATGTATATACATATGTATATATTTATATATGGTTATTAACATGTGCTGAATGAATCATTTATTTTGAACAAATATGCTTTAGTTATTATAGGTGGTAAAAATTCACATAATAAATTTGCAAACTGAAATCCATTCTTTTAGAGCATGGATTCCCATTTTAGTTTAGAACACTTTGGAATTTATGAATGTCTTTACATAAATGGAGCAATACTAGACATTTATGATCCTCTTCCCAAAATATAAACAAAGGAAGACCACAAAACAAACAAAAACAAACTCCCTCAAGTAAAGCATAAAACCTTTGGGAAGGAGGCCAGAGTATATTGTACTGTCTATCAGAATTGTAGATATCATGTATAATTAACCCAGTAGGATTCAGAACCAAATAGATATTGGCTCAGGGACACTCAGAAAGGCTGGAGGAAAGGGAAAGCAGGGTATTAAGAGAGTCAAAAGGAGAGAGAATATCAAGAATTAAGACATTGTTACAATCATATTATACATATGGTACCCTGTAAGTTAGGTGCGTGCATTAGCTTCTGATGTTACAGAGATAGGTATTATGGTTATTTCCTGCTTACAGATATGAAAATGGAATCCAAGAATGCCTATTGGGTTTTGCAACAGGATAGTAATCCATAAGAGTTATCTCAGTGGAAGTTTGGTTGTGAACGTTAGATTGCAGTGGATTGAGGAGGTATAATTGGCAAAGTATAGAAAACTCTGAAGAAATTTGTTAAGATGAAGGGGAGGTGGTGTAAAGGGGAACGTTTGTAAAAGACTAAAGTAGACTTGGGAGGTTTAAATGCTAATGAGAAGGACTTACAGGACAGGGAGAAGTTGAAGACAGAGAAGAGAGATCACTAATTGATCAACTCCCTGAATAATTGGACCCTGATGAGATTCAGGTCACAGGTGGCGGGATGAGCTATACGAGAGGGGAGGGAGCCCCCATCATTTGCTACAGGAAAGAAGAAAATGCCCCACAGCGATATCTGTAAATTTCTAGGCAGGAAGTTGGTGGTGTGTCCTATGCCTCATTTTCTCTCACTTACCATACATTGTATGTCGTGTAGAAATTTCAATATTTTTTTGAAGTTTCCTCAGATTTACTCCTTTTTCTTTTAAAAAAATTACTATGAAACCTGTCTTGGTTAGATCCTAGTCTGTAATCTAGAATACTTCTGCAATGCAGTTAAAGCAAAAGCACAAGACCAACACCACCCCCCAAAGAAAAAAACCCAGCTGATAACTCACCAATTACTGTAGGATATAATCCTGATTTACTATATGATTTTGAGATAATTGACCTTCCGTTTAAGAAGTAAAATCTCCACCTGGCTGGGCACGGCTCAGCGTTTGTATTGACCTAGGATCCAGGAGATCACGGTTCAATTCCCAGTCAGGGCATATGCCGGGCACATGCCCGGGTTGCGGGCTGGATCCCCATTTGGGTGCCTGCAGGAGGCAGCGGATCAATGCCTCTCTCATCATTGATGTTTCTCTCTCTCTCCCTCTCCCTTCCTCTCTCTGAAATCAATAAAGGTATATTTTAAAAAAAGTAAAATCTCCCTTTGGTACATTTTTTATTTCCCTGTCCAACTTTTCCAATCTCATTGGCAGGCAGAGAAGGAGGCATTGTGAGGGCTGGGAAGGGCGGGGGTTTAGAGAAAGATCTAGGTCAGGCTCCAGCTGCACCACTTACTAGCTGTGCCTCCTCAGGCAGTCACTGACATGGAGATGAGGAACTTGAAGGTATGGTTTAAGTGATTACGCGAGTACCCCTGCTGAATACGAAACTGAATAAGCTCCTTAAGGCGGCTGATAAATAAGAGGAAAACGCGGGGCTCAAAAGACTCCGGCTTGATGACAGTGTTTGAAAGACTGTCACAGTGGGAGTGGGACTGAAACTGAAACTGCCCAGCAAACTGGAAGATGTGAGAGAAGGGTTATGGGACTGGAGTTGAAGAGTTTGAGTAGCTGTTGCTGATGGAGTCTGGAGTGAGGGCCTCAGTGAAATGCTGGAGTGAAAAGGCCCTGGGAGTTAAGGATAAGGATGTGAAATAGTGATGTTCTGGATGGGCTTTAACTTGAACTCACCCAGAATGACTGTGATGGGGGTGGACGTGAAAGGAGCTCGTCAGCTAGGAACGCATGCCCTGGGTGACTGCAGGTGGGCTCGTGGCCAGAGCTGACAGGGCAAGGAGAGGGAGATGCTGGCATACTCCAGTTGCACGTGCTTCAGGAGTAATGGTGCGTTTGGTTGGGGTACAATAACAATGCTTTATCGACTGAGACACATGTTGGGTGTTGATGGGGGAGAAAAGTGATGAGGAAAGTTGCCAGTACTTAGTAGGACCCTGTTCTGTGCCAGGTGATACATGTTCTCTACATGATTTAATTTATTCCAGTCCTCGGAGGTCGCCTCTGATATCAACACTTTGCCGAGGTGAGGCTCAGAGAGATGAATTGTCTTTTTTCCTTACAGCTCATTTGTGGTGGGGCTGGGAGTAACTCTTAGGAAGGTGGAAGATATATACAGTGTTCTATATTAGAGGAATGTTTTTATGATAGAAAATGTATTGCAGAGGACACTAGGTCGGCACTGAGCAGAACAGAGCGGGCTTCAACACGTGTTGAATTAGTCTGTATTTTTATAGGTGTTTCCATTTCTAATCTTTTCCATAGGTCCCATTTATTTCAATTACTTTTCCCTACTGAAGGCTGAATACTGGCCCACAGACAAGATGACAGATTCTTCGTCGTCTTCCTTCTTTTCTGATTTTGGGCTGCTACTGTACCTGGAGGAGCTAAACAAAGAGGAATTAAGTAAATTCAAGTTACACCTAAAGAATGAGGCCATAGGACCCGGGTGCCACCCCATACCCTGGGCTGATGTGAAGAAAGCCAAGCGGGAGGAGCTGGCTAACTTGATGCACAAACATTATCCAGGAGAGCAGGCTTGGGATGTGGCTCTGAAAATCTTTGGCAAGATGAACCTCAAGGAACTGTGTGACAAAGCAAAAGCAGAGATGAGCTGTGAGTGATGCTAGGGACATATCTGGGGGGAGGAAGAAGGAAGTGCCCTGGAAGCTGCTGGGATGATTCTGTGAAAGGGACTTAGAGATTAAACCGTCCTGTGGGACACAAGCTCCACAGTGGTCAAGTACATTGGGAGCTTGTTGGATCATTTGAGAAACACTGAAGAGGCTGGAAAGTTTTGAGTGCTGTCACTCAGTCCACTCATTAATTGGGGAGTAATTCATCCATATGGTACCAGTTAGCATGATCAAAGCAACTGAATGATAAGAATTATTCCATCTAATGTACCTTTGTCTAAACTACAAATAAACATATATTAGGCTAAACTTTAAGGAATTTCAAATATGTCTTAAAATCTTTGCAGAAACATGAGGAATGGGCAAAAAGCTTATTAAGGGACCTAAGCCACATCAGTATGTTTAGTCATTCCCAAGTATGAAATATTGTAGACATCTAAGATTCCTTACTCATATTTCCTTGGAGCCACACCATACCACCGTGAGGTCAATACAGACAAGGAAATTTAGGCTTAGACTAGACCACTCACCCTATTACAGGATGGGGGCATGGCAGGAGGTCTCCTACTTCAGTGTTGTTTGCATCACATCACTCTTCCCTCAGCTAAACTTGTGCAGTCTGAGGCTCTGTTGCTCTAGTTTCTTAAACCCAGATGGTCATAGAGTTGACCGCTGAGGAGAATTCTATCCCCAGTTCTGCCCATTAAGAAAGCTCTCCTTGTGTTTGGTAATCTTGTAATCCTGTTGGAACCTGCTGCAGGGGCAGCCCAGACCACAGGACCAGAGGACACCAGGGCTGGAGAGGCACAAGGTGACCAGGAGGCACTGCTGGGTGAGTAGATGGGTTTTTGTCAGATTTGGGAGGAGTTTGAGCTTTTGAAACGTGATGGGGTTCATCTGCCAGGGTACTTTTGTTCAACTCTTGTTAACTTCTTCTAATATCCTACCTGTATACTGATTATCATTCAAGAAGAGTCAATAAAACTGGCTCTCTGGCCAAAGTCAGAGTCAAGGCCATGTTGATTCAGGACTCAAGAGAACGCTATTTGGGAATGCCCAGTCAAAGGTGAAAGTCTAATGAACAAAGGTGTATTCATGTCTGTGTTTTATGGACTAATGAGTCCTTGAGTTGGCAGAGACTATTTGGCTTATCACATCTATTCCCTTCCTTTAAAAGTGATGCTGTGATTGAGTTCCAAGGGTAGTGATTGACTAATCCACATAAAATGTAATTTCTAGAACCAGGTCTTCTCGGACTTTGTTCAGCCCCATTTCCATTCGCCCTACTTTGTTTTGAATTCTGTGTAGTTGAATTCCAGTTTACGTGAACGGAATTACAGTACAAAGAAAACGAGCAGGTGAAAAAGCTTTATTCATAACTCAGCTATGCTGGTTTCTAACAGGCCGCAGTGTTTCTTTCAAGAAGTAATTGAGGCTCTGGCCGGGTAGTTCAGTTGGTTTGAGTGTCATCCCTATACACCTAGGCTGTGGGTTTGATCTCCAGTCAGGGCACATACAAGAAGCAACCAATGAGTGCATGAATAAGTGGACAAATCAATGTGTCTCAGTCTCTCTCTTTCTCTCTCCCCCTAAAAAACCAATAAATAAAATAAAGAAATAATTGAGAACCTATTTCATTCCAGGGACTAATAAATAAAAATTGCTTATTGCATTAAATGATCTAGAAGATGACTTCCCACTTGTACTTTAATTTCTGATTCAATATAAGGATGTTTATTTTTGTGGTATATATTTAAGAAACCGGGATTCTATCTCCATAGAAAGTGCCTGTCAGAAAATCTGGAAGTTGATAAAAGTAAACAAAGAAAGTAAAAATCATCCTTATAATCTCAATTGTCTTTTAAATATTGCACTGTACTAGATATTATATCATAAAAAGAAAGTGTATCTACATTCTGATACCATAAATTCTCTTGGAGGAGAATTAAGCATAATTTAGTGGGATATGAACTGTGTTAGATGTTTGTACTGAATGGAACAGAGAAAAGAATTACAGTCATGTCTCCAAGGGGGATTGGTTCCAGGACCCCCATGGATACCAAAGTCCATGGATGCTCACGCAAGTCACTTACATAAAATAGCATAGAACAGTGCATACAGTCAGTGCACCTTATCCACAGATTTCCAACCACAGATCAAAAATAATATTTTCTATCAACAGTTGGTTGACTCTGGATGCAAAACCCAGGGTTATGGAGAGCCAGCTGCATATTTATTGAAAAAAATCCACATATAAGTGGACCTGTGCAGTTCAAACCTGTCTTGTTCAATGGTCAACTGTATTTACTTTAAAAAATTAAATAATTACAGCTTGTGATATGTTCTATGAATGAAAAAATATACTGTGTTTTGAGAATATGTGAAAAAGAGAACTATCTAGCATTGGGGTTCAGAGAAGGCTTTTCTCCTGAGATAGTGACATTTAATTGAGATCTAAAGATAGAATTGGGCTTAACTAAGTAAAGATGAAACTATATTTTCATTCTACTTGGACATTTGGGGATTTTTTCTTCTCTTTGTATAATTTTGTTAAGTGGTGTCACCCCAAAAAATTCAATTTAAAAATGAATAAAATAAAATGGAAAGAAAAGTTCTTTAGGGTGTGTTTCGATGTTCATTTCTATTAATGTTTTACCTGTATAAGGTGGATTATTTTGATCTGTAGCTTCAGATCTGTCTTCAGGTCCTCTCTGGCTATTATTGTTAATTGTTGCCTATGTTGTTCTTCTTCTTCTTTTTTTTTTTTTTTATTTCTCAGAGAAAGAGGAAAGGGCAGGGGGAAAGAGAGAAACATCCATGTAAGAGTGAAACATCAATGGGTTGCCTCCTGCACGGCCCCTACCGGGGATCCAGCCGCAAGCCTGGTATGTGCCCTGACCAGTAATCTAACCACAACCTTTCCATGCATGGGACAGTGCCCAACCAACTGAGCCACACCTGCCAGGGCGCCTGCCTGTGTTCCTTATTAATCTGGATGTGACTCTGTTCTACACATATATCATCTTTTTTTCTCTGGAGGAAAAGTACAAAGAAGAGAAAATATTTCTAGAATGGATTTAATTTTTATTTTCCATCACAAATTCATTTTTCTGCATTGCCAGTTTTATTTTTTTCAGTTTCTCGTGCATGTTTTAAATCTACAGGAATATTTTTTGTTTACATTTTTTTTCTTACCTAAACCAGCTGCTCTTTTATTTCAGCCTATGTCAGTCACTTCCTCTTCCTAAGTCTATGCCCACTAAGTCTATGCCCACTATTCTTAACATTGCAAAGCATAGAATTTGTTTTGATCATGTGTATCTTTGTTTTGTTCCTGCTCCATTATGACTTAGGTGACAGAACAAAATACAGAATTCAAATACAGGAAAGGTTTTGCCTCATGCGAGATAAGAAGTGTTTGCTTGGAGAACCTAAAGATTTCCGTCATGAAATTGCCGAGGAAGGTAGAGAGCTGCTGGAACATTTGTTTGATGTGGATGTCACAACCGGTGAGCAGCCGCAGACAGTGGTGCTGCAAGGGGCTGCTGGAGTTGGGAAAACCACCCTGGTGAGAAAGGCAATGTTAGACTGGGCCCAGGGCAATCTCTATCAGGAGAAGTTCACCTATGTTTTTTATCTCAATGCGAGAGAAATTAACCAGTGGAGAGAAAGAAGCTTTGTTCAAATGATATCAAATGACTGGCCCAGCACAGAAGGCCCCATTGAAAACATTATGTCCCAGCCAAATAGTCTCCTTTTTATTGTTGACAGTTTTGATGAGTTGAACTTCGCCTTCGAGGAACCTGAGTATGCACTGTGTGAGGACTGGACCCAGGTACACCCAGTGTCCTTCCTCATGAGTAGTTTGCTGCGGAAAGTGATGCTCCCCGAGTCATTCTTATTGGTGACGACAAGGCTCACAGCTTGCGAGAGACTAAAGCCCTTGCTGAAGAGTCAGCGTTCTATAGAGCTACTGGGGATGTCTGAGGATGCAAGAGAGGAGTATGTTTACCAGTTTTTTGAAGACAAGACGTGGGCCTTGCAAGTATTGAGCTTACTGAGAAACAATGAGATGCTTTTCAGCATGTGCAAAGTCCCCCTAATGTGCTGGGTCATTTGTACTTGTCTGGAGCAGCAGCTGGAGAAGGGTGGTGATGTCACACTGACTTGCAAATCCACCGTGGCTCTGTTTACGTGCTATATTTCTAGCTTGTTCACACGAGTAGATAGAAGCTCTCCTAGTCTACCCAAGCAAGCCCAACTGAGGAGCCTGTGCCACGTGGCTGCCAAAGGAGTATGGACTATGACACATGTGTTTTACAAGGCAAACCTCCGAAGGCATGGGTTATCTAAATTCGATGTCTCACTTTTCCTGGCCATGAATATTCTTCAGAAGGATACAGATTATGAAAACTGCTATGAGTTCACCCACCTACACATTCAGGAGTTTTTTGCAGCTATGTTCTATATGTTGGAAGACAGCCAGGAACCCGAGGACCATTCCTCTCAGTCTTTCACAGACCATTCCTCTCAGTCTTTCACAGACGTGAAGCCGTTACTTGAAAGCACTAGTTATAAAGACCCACATTTGATGCAGATGAAGTGCTTTTTGTTTGGCCTTTTGAATGAAGATCGAATAAAACAACTGGAGGAAACTTGTAACTGTATAATGTCGCTGGAGATAAAAGGGAAGATACTTCAGGAGATGGAAATATTAGGAAATAGTGACTATTTCTCATCACAGCTGGGATGTCTGGAGTTGTTTCACTGCCTGTATGAGACTCAAGACGAAGCATTTATAAGCCAGGCAATGAGCTATATCCAAAAGGTTGTCATTAACATTTGTGGGAAAATCCACTTGCTTGTGTCTTCTTTCTGCCTTAAACACTGCCGGCGTTTACGGACCATCAAGCTGTCTGTGACTGTGGTATTTGAGAAGAAGATGTTCAGTTCAAGCCTCCCGGCTGGAACTTGGTAAGTGTGTGAGGTCAGTTCCCTGGAAGTGGCCTGTGGGGGAGTGAAGGAAGCCGATTTTGTCAGGGAGAGGGGAAGAGTTATTTAGCTGAGGTCCCAGAGCCAGGGTAACCTTTCAAAGTGTCCCACCTTGAGAAAAGGAGAGCATGCACTGAAGCCCCTATTGACCAGTCACAGCTTCTGGTACAGAATGGGCAGGTCCCAACAGAGGGATTTGGCTGAGAGCTGCCAGCTGTGAACACTCCCAACAACTAGGGACTGAGTGCTTCAGTCTTCAAGGAGGGGTGAGGCATCGCCCAAATTACGCCCATTATCCTACGGAGTGTATTTACCTTGTAAAAACAATTTCTTGCTGGATAGAGTGTCCGCAGGTCGTCTGTCTAGGCTATGTTTCCACTGCATTCTACTGACCTAGCTCACCTTCCCCATTGCGTAGGCATAGGTTGGCCTTTGTATGAAAGGTCTCAGCCCTTTGACACCTAACTGGGTGGAGTCAGATGCTGGTAAGAAATAGTAGGTGCTGAGTGTTTTGAAAGAGCAATCTTCAGCATTTTTATGCTGATTATTATACCCTCTCCCCTTCCTCTAGTTGCCTTTTCTGACTTTGCCCATCTAAGTCTGGAAGAAGAATTGAACTATGGAATTAGTCCTAGATTTAGCTAAAATTAATTGAGGGCTTACTATGTGGTATATAGAGTGCACAGGATGTTGACCATATCCAACTCAAGGTTGGTCAAAACCATATTTCAGTTTATTTTTATGATTACAAAACAGATTCAGGGAAGGTATTCACCTAGAAAATAAGTGTACAATCATTGATTTAAGCATACATCAAATAATAGCTAATATTTGCTTCACACATACCTGATAGTCTTCTAAATCCCAACTCATTTAGTCTCCTAAAAATCAGGTATGTAACTTGAAGGAACTCACACATCTGATTTTAAGTCCTTGGTTTTCCAACTTTACTGAAGCTGTCTCATTGCTGTTACACACAATTGCAGCATTCCTCTTATAAGAATACATATCATTCCTCTCTGAACTGTGGGAGTAGGAATTATAGGCTAGAATTCTATGACCCGCTCTTTACTATCCTTGGGAAATTGCAAATAATCTCCTTCAGTCAGTTTTCTTCATTCTGGTTTCATAGTTCTATTTTTTAAAAAGACATGATCGAACCCAGGGCATTAAAATGCGTTTTGTGCCCAATAACAAATGTTAGGAAGGCATCCTGGCCACTATATAGCCAGTCTTCATGCTACGTTCCCCTCACCTCTGTTGTAGTGTTATCTAATACTAGAGTTGGCATTGTTTCTAAAATAAAAGAGTCTGAGGACCCAGTGTTTTAAAAGGGACATTATGGGTGGCCTCAGTCTCTTCTACAACCTTACTACATTATAAACTTGAGAGCAGGATTGCTGTCTTGTTCACCATTTTATCCATAATATGTGTACATAGTAAGCACTCGAATGTTCGAATGAATAGTTTATTGCCTAGTTTTCTCAAATTTAAGACCTCAGGTGACATAGAGGCCACCACTCTGCAATGTCATTCATTCGGGTTTAAGTAAGGTATGGGGGAAACCAATGTTTATTGAATAGTGAAGGGGATCGGGATGTGCCAGCCCAAAATGTGCCGCTTTTACATAAGAATTATTTCGAGCTGAAGGCATTTGAGTTCCTGAAACCCCTTACCTGCCTAAAAGCAGAGCTTCCCAAAAGGACTCAACTGTCATAAACTCCTCCCAGGAGCAACTCTTGTCTCTTCTTGGAGACAGAAGTTGGCCCTACACCCAGACAGAACTTGTCATAACTTACCATGTCTCCCATCTAGTCTACTAAAGGTCTGTTTATCTTTCCAAAAAGTCATTCGTTTTTCACATAAGTGCCCTTTCTCCCTCCGCCTTTTCCCTGCTAAATTACTTTTTAGACCCCAAATTCTAACTACCACTTTGACTTACCCATAACTGAATTTCTCCCATGTGTATCCGCATGTGCTAATAAAATGTGCATGCTTCTCTCTCGTTAAGCTGTCTCTTGTCAGTCTAGTTTTACAGGGCCCTGCCAGAGAACCTAGGACAGAGGGAAAAAGCCAATTCCTCTTCTACAGTACCTGTTATGTATAAGGCAACATGCCGGACTTACATATTTTTTAATATAAATAGCTACTAATTGGTAGGAGCATTTACGACATGAAACATTTGCTAAGCATTTTCTATAACTTGACTTACTGAATCTTCACAGTAATCGTAAGAAATAAATAACTGTTATGTTCATGTTTTAAGATGATGAAGAAGGCAAGGCTTGCATAGGTTAGTAATGTTGCCAGAATCACCCAGTGTAGTGAATGGCAGAGTGGGGACTCAGGACTATGCTGTTCTAGAGCTTATGCTTATAATCGCTAGATTATCTTCTGTTTTATTCCTTGTTACCTTTTGTTTATAATGACTTTCTTGATAGTATGCCTAATAATTAAATTATATAGCATTTTAAAATTTACAAAGTGCTTTTGTGTACCAACTAAAGTTGACTATTAAATCTTCACAACCCTGTGAGGGGAGATGGCCTTTCCATTTATAGATGAAAAAACTCTGAGCTCATAGAATTAATGTGACTTGCTCAAAGTAATATAGCTACTAAACGGTAGGACTGGAGTGCAAACCTGTGGTTCCCTAGTATCCGCTGTTCCTAATCTTACTCTTTGTGGTCACATATTATTTTTCTTCTTGATATTGGCTCTTCGGGTATTTGAAGACCTCTCCTGTCCTTCCTGAGACTCTTCCTTCCAAATGAAGTCTCCAGTTTTTTTTTATTTTGCATGTTGAAGGAGTGTGTTGGAGGTGGGAAAGCTATTGGGCAAATAAAGCCTCTGGAGAGCCAAGAGGAAGACTTCTGGTGGACTGTGCTTACAGCAGACCTGCACTGGATGCTCTTACCATTTTCATAGTCCACTTATTTTCACCCACTACTGTCTTCTGAGAGCTCCTGGGGTGAAACAGATTCATTGGTCTTTTCTTTTCCCAATTATGTAGGCAAAGGGATGCCTATTATTGCTGGCAAGATCTCTGTTCTGTGCTTCATACAAATGAACACTTGAGAGAACTGAACCTGTGTCATAGCAACCTCGATGACTTGGCAATGAAGGTTATTTATCAAGAACTAAGGCACCCAAACTGTAAACTACAAAAGCTATTGTAAGTGTGGCATGAGAAAATTTAATAGAGTTCCAATTTTATTTGTCCCACCTCCCACTCCTACTTATCAGGGTAAACCAACAGTGTAAAACACTAAGAACATAAACAGTGGAAACCTCTGGGAATGTGGAAACATAAGTAACCTGTTCTGGGAAAGATTGTGCAGAGCGTAGTAGCTGTTGACATGGGTTTTGGGGGCTTGATTAGGAATTTTCTAGGTGAAGAACACAGAGGTAAGGCATTGTAGGCAGGTCAACAAAGCATTTTCAAAGATAAGTTCTGGAACATACTACTTTTTCTGTTTAATTTTTTTGAATTGAGGAATAATTTATGTTCAATAAAATGCATAGATATTAAGAGTTCATTCAGTACATTGAGTTTTGACAATTGCATACACCTGTGTAACCAATACTGGAAACAAGACAAAATAATTTCATCAGCTCAGAAAGCTTTCTTGTAACGCTATCAGTCTTCTCTCCCGGTCAGTCCCAAAGGCAAGCATTTTCTAACCTCTCTCACTATAGATTAGCTTTTTCTGTTCTTGGAAATCATTTAGAATGATTTATACAGTATATATATATATTTTTTTGTTTGTTTGTTTGTTTGTTTTTATCTTTTTCTTAACAAAATGATTTTTTTTTTTAATTCATCCATGGTACCCCGGTTGGGTGGCTCAGTTGGTTATAGCATCGTCCCAATACACCAAGGTGCAGGTTCAATCCCTGGTCAGGGCACATACAAGAAGCAACCAATGAATGCATAAATAAATAGAGCAACAAATCGATCTCTCCCTCCCTCTGTTCCTTCTTTCTCCCTTTCCCCCTCCCTCCTACCTTCCCCCCTCCTTCCCTCTCTCTCCTTCCTTCCCTCTAAAAACCAATTAAAAAATAAATAAAATTAATCCATGTTGCATGTTTCAGCAATTTCTTTTTATTGCTGATTAGCATTCCATTGTATGATAGACTACAACTTGCTCATTCATCCTCTTGTGAATAGACCTCCAGTGTCATTTTCAATTTTTTGGCTGTTAGGGACAAAGCTGCTATGAATATTTTTGTACAAATCTTGTTTTTTTTTTTGGGGGGGGTTGTTTTGTTTTGTTTGTTTTTAAAATATATCTTTATTGATTTCAGAGAGAGGAAGGGAGAGGGAGAGAGAGAGAGATAGAAACATCAATGATGAGAGAGTCATTGATCGAGCCCGCAACCCGAGCATGTGCCCTGACTGGGAATTGAACCCCAATCACCTGGATCCTAGGTCGACGCTCAACCGCTAAGCCACGCCTGGCTAGCCAAATCTTGTTTTTAAAGGTGACATGTTTTCATCTCTTGGGTTAATACCTAGGAATGGAATTGCTGGTTCATAGGAGGATGTTTAACTTTTTAAGAAATTGCCAGCCAGTTCTTCAGAGTGGTTGTACCATTTCATAGTCCCATCAGCAACATGTGGAAGCTCCAGCTGCCCCTCATCCTTGCCAGCAGTTGTTATTTCAGTCTTTATCTCTTAATTTGATTCTAGATACCCTATCACTTTTTGTACATTTGCCTGTTTAATGTCTTCCTCTAGTCCATGAGCTCTCCTAGGAGCTGGAACTGAACCTGTTGTCTTCTGTGTTCAGTGCCCATCAGTGCACTTAAGGCCTAATTGGTGCTCAGCACTATGTACTGAATGTTGAACAAATGATAGATACTTGTTTCCCTTGACACTGAAGATTAACGTGGGGGTTTTTTTTTGGGGGGGGGGGCAGGCTTCCCTTCAAATATTTTCCTTAGAATCTCAGTGTTTTTAGTGAGATCTGACTTTAGATTTTAAGTAACTAGATTAGGTCTGGACTTGCATAATGTGGTAGGAAACTGCATATATGTTTTATGATGAAGGGGTTCTTGGAAGTCCATTTTGCTCACCCCCAAATATCTTCCCACATTGTCCCTTTGATGAATGTCGCCAATCTAAATCCTAACAATTGCTAATGCCATCTTTTGGGTTAGATAGCTTCCTCTTTTAGGATTCGAATGTACCTTGGTT